AATTAGGCACTCAAAAGGTGCACGTGTGGCTATATGTACCCTTACTATAATTGAAAAACATAACTATCTAATAAAACATTTTCCAGCCAAAGAGGTCATCTTAATACCGGAAAAAAAAAAAATTTCTCTTCTAATTGTAATTGAACACTAACCCTATCCTAATCTAACTTTATTCAAACCTAACCCTATTCGCCAACTAACAAACTTTTAATAGATTATGACACCGCAAAATCAAAACATTAATAATCAAGTAAGTTTATATTTGGTACTTTATTCTCAAGAGAATAAAATTTTATTAAGACCTACATTTACAGGCTTGTAATTTTAAAATATACCCCCAACTCTGTTTCAAAATTTCTTAACTATATTTTGGGCCATGATTTTTACTTTGTTTAAAAAATAATTGATATGAGTATTTTGAAATGTTTCAAGTTCATTTTTATTAATATTAATACAATACTGCAAATAAATTAAATGCTATTTCAAATTGCTAATTAATAGATTTGTTTTAATACTAGCACAATAATATTACTCACATTCTCAAAAGTCATTTCCCTGAAAAGAAATTAGTTAGTATTATGTTCATTCGAGAAATAGTATTCGGAAATTGTATAATAACTTGATATAATATTACTATTAAGCTGTTAAATAATAAATAAATTTTTATATACTTAGAAAAAAATATATTACTACTTATTTAATATGCTAAACAAATGTGAAGATTTCTTGAATAAATTAAAATTATACTAGCTTTTTGCCCATGACTTTTGTATGAGAACTTTTTAAAGAATTGTCATTACTTACTATAAAAAATTCTATTGCAGAACTCGCTATTCTAGTAATTAAAATGTTAAGGTTAAATTAATTTGTATCAGAATTACCATGACTTCCAGTGATAATAGTTTGTAATTAAGGTTAAGTTGGTTTGTAAGATTATTGTAATTTTTTTCATTAATTGCAAAAAAAAAATCATTATAAAACTACTCATTATTCTGGTAATTAAAAATCTGGTGTTGGTCTGTATTAAAATTACCGTAATTTTCACTATACCATGAGTTGCTGTAAAATATCTTATTACAAAATTTGCTTTTCAGTAAGAGTAGGATGTTATGTGGTTAAGACTAGTCTAAAACCAAAAAAAATTTGGCCTTCTCTAAGTCTTAAGCCAGATCAGACTAAACCAAACTGGACTGCTATTATTCCTACACTTGGTGAGACATAGTATGTAGTTAAAGTTGAGTTATTCGTATTAGAATTATTACGACTTCTTTTATGAGCTATAGCAAAACTTACTTGCTACTCCAGTAACAATAGGTTGTAATTAAAGTTGAGTTTGATTGCTTTAAAATCTTGATTAATAATTTGGTTCGCTTTTTTTTTTTTTGAAAAAGTAAAAAATTTAATCTACTGGACTCAAAGTACTGGAGAGCCACATGGGAGGAAGTAACCAGTTCCAAAACCATGAAAGATCATTTCTTTACCTTGGACTCTTGATTTTTTTAAATAAAAAAAAAAAGGCTAGATCAAAATTTGATGCTTAAAGAAAAAACCTTGGTTACAAAATTACTGTCACATTTTGAAAATATACTGGTAAGGAAGCTTCCAGAAATTACGTAATTTTGGGGTGGGTGGGTAGGGTCCCCAAAATATCAGATTATAATTCTGGTTAAATTTTATAATTCTGGCCAAAATTATAAAATTATAGTATATAATATAATAATAAATATTTAAACTTGAATAACTTTTGACTACTAGGCCAATTTATATGATTTAACTACCAAAATGATCCTCTCAATGAGAGGATTTTAACAAGTCTAAAATCATAGAATCACAAAATATTCAATATTTTTTGTTATTTTATATATATTTAAATAATATAAAAAATTATCTATCTTGTAATCCTGTAAGTGGATTTTAATGATTTTGAATTTGTTAGAATCTTCTCTTTTAGGGGATCATTTTGGTAATTAAATTATCCAAATTGGTTCAATAGATCAAAAGTTATATAAATTTGAAAATTTTTATTAATTAATACTATTAAAATTTTTATACAATTTGATTGGCTAATAAAGTATCAGGTATAGGTGGGTGGGTAGAAATTTTAAAATTTATTAATAACAAAATATTACATAATTTCTGGAAGCTCTCTAATGCTAAAGTTATTTAGTGCTTAACAAAATCTGGATTTATCTTTGTTAAGCAATTATTAAACTTAGAACTATATATAAGGATTTATATTCAACCTGATACAGTAATACATAGAATCTTGTATGTGCGGATGAATGCTAACAAAACCCTCAATTGGTTCACAATATCATATAGTTAAATTAGGTATTTATTAACAATGACATTGATCAAGGTTTAATCAATTGTTATTTTTAATATAAAATTCTAATCGATACTTTTTCTTTTTTACTTTTGTTTTGAACAATAATATCAGTTTTATAAATAATATGAATTTACCTTACTTTTACTATTACTTTCAAAGTTTTAGAACTAAGTTAATTTTATTGAGACGAAAAGGTAGCACTTTCATACTTTTCTCGCTATTAGTGTAGAATAGATATATTTAACTAACTATATATATACTAGATAAATGGAAACTATTTAAAGTCCGAAAAACCAAATATAAAATTTAAATTTAATTTATACTAAATATATTATATAGTCGTTTGTTTTTGCAATAAAACCTTCAAATTTAATAGAAATCAGCTTTTTTCTTTCTTTTTATACGTTATAGCTGATCTAATCAATAAGTCTTAGGTGATAAATAATAAATGTATCAGTTTGTTTTTTTTATATTACGCCTGATCTGGCTAATAAACGTTAGTTATCTGTTGTTTTTTTTTTAATCTTTTACATTACACCTGATCTAGCCAATCAGGTTTCAGAATTTGTTAACATACAGACATCAGGTATACTATTGACCTACCCAGTAGTGTCCTTCAGACAATAATATGTACGTATGACGTAGAATAACAGATAAAAAAAAATTAAACAGGGTAACAACCAGGTATATATATATATGTATGTATGATGGTCTTATCTTACTACTCTTTGGATAATTGTTTCAGTTTGTTGTTTGGTAAGTTTTGAGATTGTGTCAAACTTATGTGTTCTAATTCGACTGATTTTATCTACACCAATTATTTTGAACAAATTATATACATTTTTGGCCCTTTGTGTACTTTTTTTTAAAGCCTCTTTAGTAATATCAGATCGATGTGCTAATATTTCTCTATAGACTCTGGTTTTGGCTTTGTTTAAACTTATCCTGTTATTTTGTAGTACTTTATTTACTTGTCTCTTAAATGCTTCAGCAAATTGATACCAGGCTCATATTTCAGCCTGGTTTGCTAATATTGTATACTTTTGAGAATATTCTGCTTTATTATAAAGCTGAACTAAACTCAATGTTGTATTTCCACTATTTTTTTTTCACTACTACTACTAACTCTGGATATTTCTTCAATAGGAGTAATTAAATCCGCAAGAATTTCTAAAAAAATTTTTTTTTTTCTTAGATTAGCAATAGAGCTATTAGATTTGGTAAATAATGTAGACCTAGTAGAATTACCAGAGTTGGATGCATTAGAGATATTAATGGCGGTAGGTATAGCTGGGCTACTAGTGTTAGCAATTGTAGATGCAGGATTGCTAGAGTTAGTACTAGTAATAGTTGATATAGCTGGATCACTTGTAGATATAGTAAAATTATGAGATTGGTGATTAATATAGAAGGTATAGAAGTAGATTTTATAGATGTATTTGTAGTAGATTCAATTAAAGTATATTCCATAGATATATTTACAGTAGTAGGTTCAAGTAAAGTATTTTCTATAGATGTAAATGTATTTATAGTGGTAGGTTCAATTGGAGTATATTCCATAGATATAGATGTATTCACAGTAGTAGATTCGATTGGATTAACTTGCTGATTAGTACTTGTAGTAAAGTTTTCTAATTCTGAAGTAGTTTCTAAATTTTTACTTCAACAAATATGACAAGTATATTCCGATCCAGAAGCCTAGCGATTAATACACTTGACATGAAAGAAGTGATAACATGTCAAAATTATAATTGGATGTTGAAAAGTTGGACTAATTTTAGACAAATATATTATACAATTATTATGTTCATTTGAATCTGAAATATTTTCAGATGTATTTTAAAAAAAAACTTTGTACATAAATTGTTTTAATATTTCCATTTTTTTTTGATAATAAACAAGGTTTGGTTTTGACAAAAAAATCATTTGTGATTCCTATTTATTTGTATAATTTCAAGAACATAAATTTTTTCACAACATTTTTTTAAATATTTTCACAACTTATCGTATGATAGATAGATAAAAGGAATTACTTAAATAATGCAGAAGTATTAGTGTATCATGAAAACAACTTATAGTGAACAGATATGAGGAGTCACTAATAGATTTAAATAAATTATTAATAACACAAATAATGCAGTCGCGTTAAAAAAAATTTTTTTAATTAATGTTTTTGAATTTTATATGCTTTTTACAATATTGTAAGATTCTATAGATTTCAAATAAATATAAATATAATTAGACAATTTAGAATCTCGGAAATTTTCTTCAGTCATCATTACAAAAGTCAAGGAGTTACATCTTTTTGCAAAGCGCAATAAAATACTTGCAAAATTTTTATGATTATTTTACTTTGCAAAATTAATTACAATAGCAATAGTAATTAATAATTACAAACTTTAATTAGAATTAAAAAATGAGATAATACATTAATTGATGATCCTTCAGTCAACTGAAGAATGATCATAGTAAAATGTGACTCAGATTACTATATAAATTTACTATAGTGCGAATATGGCGATCGCCCAAGGTAAACTTTTTTTGTATTTAAATAATGTAATTCAACTTATCACATGACTTCACAGACATTCATGTTCGTGAAGTCATGTGATAAGTTGAATGGCACATGTCAAATAGCATTCAAATAGTGCTGTTCAACATATCGAATTTTACTAGTATATGTTATATCTAATTATAAGGTTTAATTTGTCAAAAATTATAGAAGCGCTATCATTAATTTTGAAGTGAAAAGCCTGTACCTATCTAATAGTTCATATTAGAATTTTGGAGGTAGCTATCTCAGCAAAAATATCACAGCGATATGACATATTTGTCATATAAGTAGAAGTGCAGTATTGTATGATTTGAGTAAATATAAAGATTCTATTAATTGGTAGATTAAAAAAGTGATTTATGTTTATAAATATTAACTAATACTAATACTTTTCAGATTACCGGTCAGTGTTCTCCAATGAGCCGGCTCAAATAGGCTTATTCTACACCCATTGGCTTATTTAAGACTTTGATGTATATGTAACATGATATATTCAAGAATATATATTATATATAGTATAAAAACTTAATAAGCCAATGAAATATTGAGTAAGTCTATTTGAGCTGGCTCACTGGAGAACACTAAATATATATGATGTTTGACAATGATTAAAATAGTAATCTAAATATAGCAAAAGTATATATATTGTAATAGCTAAATAAAGACAACATGTTTAAAGTATAGTATTTGGCATGTAATCCCAATAAGAATATTAATGATTGCATCAGAGGATTTCAGCTTAGAACCTGGAAATGCAATTGACCGGATTTCACAACAAATTACCATATAAGTGCAATGGGTGTTATTTGAAAATCGAATTCTTCAAAAATAACTTGTATTCTCGATATTAGTGCTATGAGTGGTTTATATTTGCTTACATCTTTTTTGAAATATACTGTAGCTATAATAAAATCGAAACTTATCTCTTATTCATAATCCTATCGTTATGACCCCTGTTTTACGTGATTTGTTCAATTCATTTAAAAACCCCATTTCCAAGTCTTGTATAATTCAATTTCATATCTCCTTTACTCTCGTATTATTTATATTTCTTTCCATAGCTACTGTATTAGAGCTAAATCACTCTGCTTAAATAAACTCTTCAAAATTAATGTTTCACTACTTTACACTACCTTTATGAGTTGCTCAATCAGGACCCAAAGTCCTGCTAAAAAATTAATTTCATCTTTGATATTTCATAGATGCAATTAAATTTTAATAACTCCGGTACTATTTAAATCATATTTGCATGACAATTCAAATAATACCAAAATCATCCAAATTTAATCATACGTTTTTGAGATATCAAAGATAAATCAATTTAAGTTTATCAGGACCTCAGGTCCCGATAAAAAATTTGATTCATCCTTGATATCTCGAGAATGTATAATTAAATTTGGATGATTTTGATACTATTTGAATCATTATGCAAATATGATTTGAATGGTACCAGAGTTATTGCCTCAAATTCAATCGGGACCCAAGGTTCTGCTAAAAAATTAATTTCATTGTAGATATAATTGAATTTTAATAACTCCGGTACTATACAAATCACCTTTGCATAATGATTCAAATAGTATCAAAATCGTCCAAATTTACGAAATATCAAGGATGGATTAATTTAAATTCATTGGGACCTTGGGTCCCAATTAAATTTGAATTCATAATTACAGAAGTAAATTAATGACAGTGTTTTTTTTTTTTTAGTTGCATGTTGTTAGTTATAACTTTGGTGACTTTAAAAGTTAAGCATATTTGTAAACAGTGTATAAGAAGAGTACATGGACTTGATATTTATTAGTATAATTTATTAGGTATTTATAATGTATAAAAAGAGTGCGAATTTATTTAGAGAATTTAGTAAGCGTATACAGTCGTCCTCCCCTATAATCACACAGTTGGGCACGTACTAATCAGGTGATTATAAAGAGGTGTGACCTTATA